TGAACCGCTTCTTGGACCTCTCGCTAGAAGAATGTTTCATTCAGGATCTCATTTACAGTGGGTTTGCAAGCTGCTCGTTTTTGGACAGCTTTTTGCATGGGGTAGGAGCATGTCTGTTTGACCACATCAGTTTATTCAAAAGCAAAATTTTTTTTAAATAAGATAAATGTTAAGTTGATTTATAAGTGAGCCTGTTAATTAAACCCCAGGTACTGCATATAATTCCACATCCCTTGACCAATAAAAGTTGCTGGAGAACCAAACCATGGTGGTTCTTAATAAAGGCCTTTAGGAAAAATGAAGAGGGGAGAAAATATGGTATTTGGTCCATGGAGTGTTTCCAACACCACCAACCGATCCTCTGATTCTTCACACACCAGGTGGGTTCTGTTCTGAGCCTGTCTGCCCGGAGATGGTATCAGATCCCATAGGTTAAGGGCTGAGTCGGCATCACCACCGCTACCACCACCCGCCTCCAGACACACACTGCAGATGCCAGTCACAGGTCCAGGTTGTTACCTGTGCTTCTGACCTACCAGCACAGGTTAAGTGCTAAGGTTAAGTCAGCACTAAGTCTGAGGTTCCCACGACCCCCTCCTCGGGTTTGATTAACTTCTAGAGCAGCTCACAGGACTGAGAGAAACAGTTTCCTTACGAGATTACTGGTGTATTGCAAAGGATATTAAAGGATACAAATGAACAGCAGACGAGGAGATACATAGGGCCGGGTCTGGAAGGGTACCGGGCACAGGAGCTTCTGTCCCCGTGGAGTTTGGGGTGCACCACCCTCTCGGCACATGGATGTCTTCCTGTTCACCAACCCGGAAGCTCAGAAGCTCCTCAAATCTTGCTGTTCAAGAATTTTTCCAGAGCTTAATCTCCAGCATCCCCCTTCCCTGAGGCCAGTGGGTGGAGCTAAAAGTTCCTTCCATCTCTCTGGTGACCAGCCCCACACTGAGACTCTCTAGGGGACGCACCTGAAGTCAATTCATTAGCATAAACTCTGCTCACAAGGGACCCCTAAAACTCAAGAAATTCTAAGGGTTTTAGGAGCTTTGTGTCGGGAACCAGAGATAAAGACCAAATATACCTAGTTACAAATGTTATGTATGTATTTCCCACAACTTACTAAGTTTTCAGGATGCTCTTAATTTACATATCTAGAAAAGCATTTTCTCAGTCTTCCTAGAAAATGATTCTACACTCCATCTGGACTTGAGATTATAATTTATTCTTTCACAGTCCAGTATTTAAGTGAAAGTGAAAACATCACAATTTGGGATACTGTAACGGTTTTTTGAAAACAAATGACTTGTGACTTATGTAAGAGTTTTTGAAATCTTTAAGAACATTGATTCCTAGCAGATCAGTATCATTCAGAGTGAAGAAAGTGCTAAAATTAGTAATTTAAATGATTTGTAATTCATACCATGACACAGTAGATGGTTCTTTCTGTCAAATTTGTCCTTTTTTTTTTTTTGCTTTTTATGGAGGGGAAAATTAGAGGGACTTTAAGACACCTGTAAAGTTTAAAATAATTTTTTGTGCTAGTTGTAAAGTGATTTCTCTACCTGTGCACCTACAGACAATCTGAGTTTATCCCAGTTGTTGCGTGGTCGCTTCCTGATTGTATTTACTTGTTTAAGGAGTTGCTTTTAGAATTGTAGAGGGATTTATCTGAGAACGCTCAGCTTGCCAGCTTCAGAAAGAGGAGTCATTTGCCGGCCATCACCCTCTAAGGTTAGCAACTGACTTATGGGAGTTTTTGAACTTAAACAAGTATGGAGAAAATAGCACAGAGAACCACTATATCAGCCAGCTTCCACAGTTGTCCGCATTATGCCGATCTTGTTTTATCTACTGTACCTTTGCCCCACTTTTTTTATGCTGTAATATTTGGAAACACCCAAAACATCTGTCGTTTCACCCAAAAATAGTTCAGTATGCATCTCTGACAAGAATATATTTTTTTAATTTTATATAATCAACATACCATTGGGAACTTCATAAAAGATACTGTTACAAGCCAAGAATGGCTATGGTTTTTTTCTTGCAATTATATAAAGTTGTCTTTCTGGCATGTATTGAAGAAACAAGATGTACATCTTTAATCCAGCATTACAGGAGGTCATTTCCCAACATGTGGCTAATTGTACTGGAAGTTCTGTCCCCGAGCGCAGGGGACAGTTGTACCTTCAGCAGGGACACGGGGCGGCCAGCCTGCCACCCACAGCCAGCGCAGCTTCAGAGTGGTGGGACCCCTCGCCGAACTGGTTGGTAGACCTTCTCAGTATCACACTTGCCACTGTAGTAATGTGAGACACACCTACTTTAATCACCTCAGCGTGTCTACGTGAAGGACGTATTGAACTTGACCCATGCATCTCCGGAAGTTACGCTACCCAGTATGAAGCGGGTCGAGCTTGCAATAATGTCAGCATGCTCCTTCATCCTAGAGCATGTTGCTCTTCCCCTGTGGGAACTGGATGAAAAATAGATAAGCCTGCGCTCTGACAGCTACTTTCTCTAACTTCTTGATGTCATGTGTAAATTTCATTTTAAAGAAAAACTAGCATTTTCAGAAAAACACTAAATTTCTGAGTATGCCACATCCCCAAATGCCATAGAAATAATTGTGTTCACTAAATATTTAAGGGCCAACTAACTCTGTGAGAGTAAAGTGCTAAGTGCTGTATGTTGGGTGGGGAGCCGTCAAATCATTTTACATTGACTAGGAAAATTTGTGATGTGATTAATTTGGGGTAAGTCCCCCACACCATCCTCCATTCCAGAAAAGTCACCATGTCGGTTTCTGTGGCCATAAACATCTGTCACATGCCCTCATGCTACGCCTACTTCCTGGGGAAAATGGTGCTTTTATAGGACACTCCTGTGTTTCTCCGAATGCCCCTTGCTTTCTCATCGCCTCTAGCCTTTCCATGGACTGTGTTTCGCTGCCCTCACCTGTAATGCACCCTGCAGGCGGTCCAGGTCTGTCAGGCTGCAGCCCCCTTGTCCTGACGGGTGCAGCTGGGGGCCCTCAGTAACCCTCTCCCACTCCTGGCACGTGCAGACACACCGCTCCAGTCCTGCACTGTCCTGACCTTGCTTTTGGTATTGGTCACGTTGTCTTTATTTGTCTTCTCTACTGGGCTGAGACTTCCCTAGGAAAGGGCTGCCTTCTGTGTGCCTAGGGCCTGGCAAACAGGACTCCAGTGCTTGTGGAAAGGACAAATGATCAGAGTCACTTGTGTCCCCAAATCCTTCTAAAGTACCTGGATATCAAGCCTATCCACTGCAAGATGGCTGTTTTGCAAAATCTCCCAAAAGGTGGTTATCTGATCCTACTCAGTCCCTTCCGGTCTGGGAGGGAGTTTCATAACTCCTAGAGCTCACTTTCAAATGATATCACCAAGATGGCAAAGTAGGGAGACCCCGGCCTCCATCCCCCCAACTCCCACAAAGATCAACAATTAGCTATCCACAGAGAATATCAGCTCTGGGAGAACTCGGGAGTCCACTTCAGAAACTTCAGCTGCTCGGTGGAACAAGAACCTGAAAATAATCACACAGAAAGGGAAGAACAGCTTCCTTTTGTCTGCATCACCCCATGCCCCAGGCCAGCACTGCTCAGCACCAAGAGGGAGCTCCCCAGCTAGAAAGACGTCTCCTCCCCAGGAAAGGGGGGGGGGGGGGGGGGGGACCACACTGCTGCCAGGTTCAGAGCCTCCCCTGGATCACCCTGGCACAGATAAGGGTAGTGAGGTCAAGGACCCTCCAGCTGCAGAGGGCTAAGCCCCTCCACCAGCTCCAGCTCCCACTGATGGCAGGGGGGGGGGGGTGTGAGCGACTAGCTTCCCCAGCCTTTTGGGGC